AGAATGATGTGATTGACTTGACCCATTTTGTTAGCTTAGCACTTGATCATTTAGTTTGTTGCTATTGCTTTCTTCATGACTTATACATGTTCCTATGACTATGAGATTATGCAACTCCCGTTTACCGGAGGAACACTTTGTGTGCTACCAAACATCACAATGTAACTGGGTGATTATAAAGGTGCTCTACAGGTGTCTCCGAAGGTACTTGTTGGGTTGGCGTATTTCGAGATTAGGATTTGTCACTCTGATTGTCGGAGAGGTATATCTGGGCCCTCTCGGTAATGCACATCACATAAGCCTTGCAAGCATTGCAACTAATAAGTTAGTTGCGGGATGATGTATTATGGAACGAGTAAAGAGACTTGCCAGTAACGAGATTGAACTAGGTATTGAGATACCGACGATCAAATCTCGGGCAAGTAACATACCGATGACAAAGGGAACAACATATGTTGTTATGCGGTCTGACCAATAAAAGATCTTCGTAGAATATGTATGAACCAATATGAGCATCCAGGTTCTGCTATTGGTCATTGACCGGAGACGTGTCTCAGTCATGTCTACATTGTTCTCGAACCCGTAGGGTCCGCACGCTTAACGTTACGATGACAGTTTCATTATAAGTTTATATTTTTTTTGATGTACCAAAGGTTGTTCGGAGTTCCGGATGTGATCACGGACATAACGAGGAGTCTCGAAATAGTCGAGACATAAAGATTGATATATTGGACGACTATATTCGGACACAGGAATGGTTCTGGGAGTTATCGGATATAAAACGGAGTATCGGGGGTTATCGGAACCCCCCCGGGGGTTAATGGGCCTCATGGGCCCAAAGTGGAGTAGAGGAGGGGCGGCAAGGGCAGGCTGCGCGCCCCTCCCCCTCTAGTCCGAATTGGACAAGGAGGGAGGGGCGGCGCCCCCCCTTTCCTTTCTCTCCTCTCTCCCTTCCTTCCCCCTCTCCTAGTTGGACAAGGAAAGGAGGGAGTCCTACTCCCGGTAGGAGTAGGAATCCTCCCTGGCGCGCCTCCTCCTGGCCGGCCGCCCCTCTCCCTTGCTCCTTTATATACGGGTGCAGGGGGGCACCCCAAAGACACAACAATTGATCCTTGAGATCTATCAGCCGTGTGCGGTGCCCTCCTCCACCATAATCCTCGATAATATTGTAGCGGTGCTTAGCCGAAGCCCTGCGACGGTAGAACATCAAGATCGTCACCACGCCGTCATGCTGACGGAACTCTTCCCCGACATTCTGCTGGATCGGAGTCCGAGGATCGTCATCGAGCTGAACGTGTGCTAGAACTCGGAGGTGCCGTAGTTTCGGTGCTTGATCGGTCGGGCCGTGAAGACGTACGACTACATCAACCGCGTTGTGCTAACGCTTCCGCTTCCGGTCTACGAGGGTACGTAGACAACACTCTCCCCTCTCGTTGCTATGCATCACCATGATCTTGCGTGTGCGTAGGAATTTTTTTGAAATTACTACGTTCCCCAACAACCTCAACCGTCTAGGATGCTCAAACACCCAAGAGTAACAAGATCCGCAAGGGATTAGTGGGGGGAATCAAATTTCTCTTGGTGGAAGTGTGAACCGAGGCCTTCTCAACCACTCCCGAACAAATCAACAAGTTTGATTGGCTAGGGAGTGAGATCGGGCGAAAATGGAGTTTAGAGCAATAATGGAGCTTAGGGTTGGAAGAGATGAGTCAACGGGGAAGAAGGGGACCCCTTATATAGTGTAGGACAAAGATCCAACCGTTACCCACCTACCAGCCCGTGGCCAGCGGTACTACCGCAGGGCCTCGCGGTACTACCACTTGTTACCAAGCGGTACTACCGCACGGCCATGCGGTACTACTATACAGGCCCGCGGTACTGCCGCAACCCCAGCAACAGCAAGGTCAGATCTGACGCGCAGGAGCTGAGGGCAGTACTTCCGCGAGCGCGGTACTACCGCGCCTCCATGCAGTACTACCGTGAGGCAGAAATCCCCTAGCCAGGGGGGAGGAAACATCCGTGCCTACTTCTACAAAGAAATGGAAGAAGCAAAAACCCGACACAGTAGTACTACCGAGGGGCGGTACTACTGCCTGACAACATAGCACGGTACTACCGCGGAGCGAAAGCGATACTACCGCGGTAGGTGCGGATGTAAAAATTATATCCGCCCCTACTACCGCGAAGGAGCGGTACTAGCCTGGTGGGCAGCGGTAGTGCAGCTCCAGGGGAGCGGTACTACCGTGGGCACCTGCGGTACTACCGCACCACCGCACGGTACTACCGCTAGTGCCTACGATACTACCGCTCTCCTGGGAGCAGTACTACTGCGGCCCAACTCAGCAGCCAGAACCAGTGAGGCGAGAGAGCGGAGGAAGCTCCAAGGGAAAAGGAGGGGACAAGAAGGAGACATGTACGTGATGATTCCACCCAAACCTTTCCGACGCGGACCCCCTTTTAATAGTACGGCTTTCCTACGACTCAAATCCACCAAAAAGAAACGTAGAGAAGACGCCGTGTTCAACAGTCTTCGAGGGGCACCCAACCGTATTGTGCCTAGCGATGAAATGTCTCGAATACTCAAGGCACACGATTAGTCCGCAAACGCATTGTCATCAATCACCAAAACACCTTGGGGATAAATATGCCCTTACAACGAGGTTGGTCCATATGGCCAGGGTCATCAACATCTCTTATGATGACAAATAGATCAAGGCAATTTGTTTGTTCCATGTAAACATGTACTATGTATGATAAAATGAACGTTGCATGATTAGTATGGATTTGAGAGTTTGCAAATAAAGGTTGTGATTAGAATGGCGAACAAATGAGAGTCGGGCCGCCACTGTCCGCGGACATGTCTAGACACGCCCGCAGGTTCGAATTGGTTGAGTCCAACTATAGATGCCCTAATGAGTAACCTGATTCCCTTTTTCAGAAAGGGTGAATAACCCCGGCCTCTACATCAAGCGAAATACATAACACCTGTTCCCTTGGTTCGTTTCTTTCTACAATACCAATAAATGTTTCTTTTTACAATTTTTTGTTGAAAGCATCTTCTTACAATTTACTCTGAAGATTAATGATAGGGCCGCAATTAGCGGTCAACAATAATTGACAGGGCGATCCCATTCGTTTGCTCTCAAATTTACCCGTCAACAATTGCAAGTAAGAGCATCTTCAATAGATGATGTATTTCATAAACCAAAAAGTGGTGGGTGTAAAATACTCCCTCCGTCCGAAAATACTTGTCGGTGAGATGGATGTATCTAGACGTATTTTAGTTCTAGATACATTAGTTTTTATCCATGTCTCCGACAAGTATTTCCGGAAGGAGGGAGTATACATCACCAAAAAGTGTTTTTTACATCACTAAAAACAGATCAACTCCAACAGATGATGTAAACTAGCGCTCCAATAGATGATGTAAAACAAGTTGAACTACTTCAGCATTTCAAACATAAATTCAAACATACCAAGTTCATTTGAAGCAAGCATAGTTCATAAAACAAAACAAAAACACAGTTCAAACTGCTACATCACACCAAGCTACTACTCCTCCGAGTCTACTTGAACTACATAATACATAAAACTAGTCATTGTCGTTTTCTAGCCGCTCCCAGAATTCCTCTTTGATGGGGTCGTCGGAGTCGTCGAGCGTCTCAAACTCCTCCTCCTCAGAGTCATCCTAGCCCGACGAGTCAAACTCGATGGGGATCATAGTCGAGGGGCCGACCTCATCCTCCTTCTTCACCGTCTTCTTCTTCTTCGCCTGCTCGGCGTCACGCTTCCAATGGGACTCCTGCTTGGCCTGGACATGCTCTGGATGCTCCCGCGTGAACCCTGCCAATGCCGCTTTGTCACTTTCGCCAGGCTCTTCTCCTCCTCCTCCTCCTCCTCCTCCTCCTCCTCCTCCTTCTCCTTCTGCTTCTCCTTCCGCTTCTCCTCCTCCTTGTCCTTCTTGTCCTTCTCCTCTCCTCCTCCTCCTCAAACGCCAAGTGGCGACGCCGTGCCCACGTGCAGCCACGTCGCACTGGAACTCAGCATCGAAGTCCCAGACGGCTTCACCCGCGCCCCGAAGTAGGTAGTCTTGCTCTTCGAGACCTTCTTCGGCGGCATTCAATACCTCAAGAGCACCCAAAAAATTAAACTGGAATCCAAAGGAGAAAGTTGTGGTGGATTCAAGTGTAAAGCGGCAAGAAAAGACATCAAGAACACATAGTCTGAGAATACAAATGTGATCCAGAAAAAATAATTTTGATTCAATAAAATTCTTGAGAAAACGAGATCCATGCCCAAATTAGCTTGCCTTCGTTTGAGAGAGAGAGTCGATAGATATGGTCTTCACGTACAGGGGGAGAGAGTCGACAGATTCTTTTTTTGATGTTTTTTTTTGACAGAAAGATAGATTGAGATGGTCGTTGCTGTTTAGGCTTCCTATGAAGAGGGAAAAAATTAGACCATAATAATTTGTTCCCGCAAGATAAATGGCTGATATTTTTTTCTGATTAGATTGGTTAATCTAGACAGTAATAAGTCGGCCCCACCACATAAACGGCTCATATGTTTTGATTTACTCTAATTAATGTGTGAATTTCTTGAAAGTCTGTAATATCTAGATATATTTTAGTTCTAGATACATTCATTTTTGTTCATTTTGATGACAAGTATTTTGAAACGGAGGGAGTAGTTCTGTTGCCGACTACCTATAACTCTTGACAGGGAAAAACATGATCCCCGTGAAACAAGCTCAAGTGCAGTGAGGAAGGAAGCTGCCTTTTCGTCCATGAAAGTACATCGATTGACATGACATCCACATGTCTGTTGTTGTTTTGCAGCGAAATCTTGGAGTATGCATGCATATTGATGACGCGGCATTTGAAAATGCAGGAAACTGCATCGGATTTGAGGATACTTGTTTCTACTAAGTAGAAATTATTCATTCCCTTTGTTTGACACTTTGTAATCACGAGGCTATCTTCAGCCCCCATGTTAACCGACTATTTGTCGCAGAGATAGCACATGCATTCGCTATTGAGCGGTGTCCCCTCGCACCTGTGCTCCTTGAGAACGGAATTAAACATCTTCTCCGCAATCAAGCAAGTCGCTTTGCACAGAAAGCCTATGCAGAGTGGGTTGCCATTGATATTCACCCAGCATCCTGCAATGAATTAACACGCATTTATGAACATGAATATCCATGATGAAGAACCTGTAGTCGGTTGTCGCCGAGACGGAGGGAGGAGCAGAAACCTGCGGAGCCATGATCCGCGAACAATACAAGAATCAACACCAAGCACATGATAGCATTTCTTGCACCCATGATCGGTGGCGTTGGGCGAAGTTTCAGGTATACTTTTCTTTCCCCACTTGGTTTGCTATGAAGCAAGAATTGTTATGTCAGAGAGGATATGCAGTATTTATAGACTTTGGAAGTCCAAGATTCGTAGTAGATAGAAGCTTGCAAACGTACCAGATGGATAGGTGTATTTAATAAGAAAATTGATAAATATGCAATCTGCTGCGACGTCAGAATGCAAGAAGAGGGAAATCCACGTGACCCTATCTTTCTTCAGGCTATTGCGCACGATACGGTAGGAGTCCGTGCTAGATTCGGCGCAAAAAGAAAAGAAAAGGAAAAACATTGCATATGTTCAACAGCTCGAGAGTAGTAGATTACCAAACGGTTGGCATCTTTTGGAATCCACTACAAAACGTGATTTTTTTGGACAATGCTAACATCCACACGTGTGGTCGAAGCGGAATCTGCCCATACGCTCTATAACACACAGACTGTGCCACGTCACCGCATATATGCACATGAATTATCATGATGTTCGTACTAAAGTTGTCATGATATGTTACAACTATTTTCTTCTACATTTAAAAGTAAATTTTGACATTTATAAAACGGAAAATTAAGAAAATAGACTTGCCATGAACCATAAACTAAAATTGCCATGATACATGCACTTAAAGTTGCCATGGTTCATACACAAAATAATTTTAGTGGTCAAAGTACTGGAGTTGCCATCATCAAAACACTAAAATTGCCATACTCTACAAACTAAAACTGACTTTAATTTAAGCACTATGGCAACTACAGTGTAAACATCATAACAACTTTTGAGTAAAAAACAATTGTCGAAACATATCAATATGGGGTCTAGTTTTGAAGATCTCGTCGAGACGGATTTAATGATGAAAACGAATTTTTAATTTGATTTTTAATTAGGAGATAAAACATTTTTAAGCCGAAAACCCAAAAAAATTCTGCTGATGTCATTTGTTCACATGTGGCAAAATGAGTGGTAAAGGAGACGTGTGGGCGATGTGTAAGATGCCACACGTGTGTGCGTTAGTTTTTTCGTTTTCTCAATGTTTTGTGACCATTTTATCAAAATTTGTGAACATTCTTTAAAATTTTCATATATTTTTTCAGAAATTTTAAAATTTATTAAAACATGATTTTTTTTCTTAAAAGTCCAAACATTTGTTAAGAAAACTGGGAAAAAGAAAAAATAGAACAAAATGGTATAAAAATAAAGAAAAATAATGCTAGACCGAAACATCCAAGAAGGTTCCCAAAACGGGTCTGGAAATGTCCCCAAATCGGTATTATGTTTTTTTTGGAGAAACCAAACCGGTATAGTACCGTTTGCTCTCTAAATGGGCCGGCCCAAAACAAATCGTACGTGAGCTACCTGTGCGAAATGCTGGCAGCATTTTGGCAGAAGAAGTGTCAGTTAGGATTTGCCCATTTCTCATCAAAGAAATTATAGGATATGATTGACCTGCCATGCAGTTGATGTTTTCTTCGTAGTGAAATGTTTTTTTAAGAACATTGTACACTCACCTCTATGAACACACAGTCACACCCTACTTCTAATAGCAAATGGCACATGCTTCGCATGTACAACCAACGATTGTCAAGATTGCGTAAATAACTTAGCTCTGAATGTTTACATCATTTCACTACAATTAATCACTTAAAAGTTAAAATTATACCATCAAAGACAGATGTGACATATATGGGGGTGGTAACAAAATCTTAGTCCCTTCCTAAATGACTATCAAGTGTATTGTGTGGCAAAACTAAGTTATGACTTATCTAGCTACTCACTGAACCTTTAATTCGGTCAAAAGGTATGTTTTTTTTCTTTCTTAACATATAGATGACGATATTTCCTACGGAATTCTTGCATGGGTTTATTCGATGTCCTGCTAGGTTTATTTATTATCCATAATATTCTTTCTTCATTTTTTATTTACTATTCTTTCATTATTTTCTCTTAACATAGATAGTTTATTCCATTTTTTACTGTCATTAATACAAGATATGAAGTACACTTTATTCAAAACTATACTTTTAATCCTCTATTTGCTTTGGATGTTTCATTGTACAAACAACTCGACATCAATAGAAAATTTAGAGAAACACAAACACTTTGTGATGGTTTGTAGGACAGCAAGTTATATTTTCTAAATGCAAGAGGTACTATTTCTATGTTGACTGATAACTTTTTATAAATACATTTGCATAAAAAATGTTATATACTCAATCAATCCACGACGGGTAGATGCACTAAATACAAAGCTGGGTCGATGTATACATTTTTGTAGAGCATCACGATTTGCAAGTGGCCTCATTAAGAAATTGCAATTTTTGAAGCGGCAGAAAACATATATTTGTTTGACATATAATTTCTTATTTATTTCTGCATGCACAACATTAATTATCTCGTATTTCAAGCTTGCAACGATATGTACACCCGGAACTTTTTGTTCAGGATATACTCTCGGACATGTTAAATTTGCACACCTTCTTTTTGGAACCGTGCGCACCTCCTCTCAGCAAATGTGTTTTTCTCCATTTCCTCTTTTTTTATTCTATTATAGCTAAAACATTTTGTCTATCTCAGGTGCTAATATTAGCACACTCTTTTTTATCCGGGCTCTGCCCTACATGCATTGCCATGGTTCGAGACTCCTAGAAGACTCCCGATTCTTTGAATCATTTTCTATATCTTCTTTTCAAACCCTGCCACCTGACACAGTACAACGGTTTAATAAAAAGGGGGCACGGTACAACGCTAAGGCCCACCGCGAATCCCTTGGACGTTGGCCGTTGGATCACAAAATCCGGTGGTGGTTACACTGCCACGTTGCTCAAGATTTCAGCACGCTGATTCTCAGCCGTCCGATAGGAAAGATCCAACGGCCTATATGCTTCAATACTCATACACTATATAGTAGTATAGATATAGATATAGATAAGCACCTTCGAGAGACTGAGCCGACATATTGTTGACGGAAACGTCTCTCACTGAACGTGCATCGCCGAAATTTCTGAAATAAATACAGGATAAATGTGAGCACCAGTACTTGAACTCTGATGGGCTGGAGATACCACTGTCCTCCTAACCATCCAACTAAAAGTTGGTTCGCTTTATAGTGAAATATTGAAGCACTGATTTTTTTTACAATAGTGTACCACAGAATTAGTTAAGATTTTCGACGGTGTAAAAGTTCTCAAAACTCCTAAAAAAAACTACTAAACCAATACACCTATAATATAACATGATCCAATGTAGGGATTGAAAAAATATGACTAGATGTGTCCTGAACAAAAAGAACAAATGATTTAGTATATGTTGATCAGTTGAAATGCTTATTTTTTTCCGTCAAGGACACATAAATGCATATTTTCACGATCACACCGTTGGATCATCTTATTATATTATAGTGAAGCTCCCCAATTTATTTCATATTTTTTATTAACTTTAACCATTAAATATTTATTAAGCCTTAACTAGTTCTGTGCCAAGCTATGGTGTATATATATATATATATATATAGGGAAAATTCATCCTACCACCCGGTGGTAGTTACCCCACATGTCTCATATACTAGCATGTGGTACTATATATACTATTTTATTATTTTAAATATGTTTATATACTATATCTAAGATATTTCAAAACAAGTTACATGAAAAAATTGCATATGAGCCCATAGTTTTTGTTATATTTGTGAAATACATACATATTTGTATGTAAAAAAGAGCATACTCAAAAAATGGTACATACTACCTAAAAATTTGTATATATACTACCTAATCATTGTTATATACTACATATAACACGTACATACTCTCGGTTTCGACACATACTACATACAACATACAAAACGCAAGTGGTGGTAACTACCTCCCTCCGATCCATAATAAGTGTCGCAACTTTAAACTAATGTTGAATTAAACTTAATTTAAAGTTGCGTCACTTATTTTGGATCAAAGACAATACTAAATTATTATTAATATCTCATTTACCAAATAACATGCACGTAAATGCTAGGGATAGGGGGAAATATCTTGTACTCCCACCCCTAGGGTGCTCCAATCTCAGTAGCATATTTTAAAATGTTCAAAAAAATATAAAAAAATCTAGCACATTGACATAACATCAATGTATGTTGTTAAAAAATTCAAATCAAAATTGAAAACATTGTTTGAGATACAAAAATGACAAAATGGACATCAATGTGATAATGGGCCTAATCTAAAGCCCAATTTATGTTGTGTACTATTTACTGTCGAATTTGTCATTTGTGTTTTTCAAGCTATGTTTCGAATTTTGGTTTCATATTTTTTGACAACATACTTTGATGTTGTGTCAATGTGCTAGATTTTTTTCAGATTTTTTTGAACACTTAAAAATGTGCTACCGAGTTTTGGAGCACCGGGAGCACGCTAGGGGTGGGAGTACCAGATATTTTCCCCTAGGGATAGGAAGTTGACATTGGTTAAGAGCGTATCAGGTGCACCAACTCAATTCATGCACCGAATGCTCCGTTGCTATATTAGCCATTGGATGAAAGACAAAGGGATATGATCAGGTTGGTAGGTGGATTGTTGAAACATTGCAAGACAGTCCTTTTATTTTATGAAAATTGACCCACATCTCCCTCTTCTCTAAATAACTATGTGTGTTTTTTTTTGCTTCAAACAAAAAAAGGATCATATATTTAAACAAATTGTCTGATTTCGAGAACGTTTTGACTGCCTTCTTTTGTTTTGACGAGATCTTTGAATCAAGATTAATATTAGGTATATTTTTTAAAATTCATATTTTTGCCTTTTGGACCTTAACTCGAAATTGGACTGATTTTTTACAAGTTTTGTAATTTTTCTATGAGAAACATCCGCCTCTCCCACACGTGGGTCTCGCGTGCAACATCCTTCTGGTACATCAAGTTTTGGGTCAAGTTTCAAAAAAGCAAAAGATAGTATTTGTTGGAAACATATTCAGTATATCTTATTTC